TAGAATAGACTGCCTAGGGAGGTGGTTGAGTCGCCATCCCTAAATATATTTAAGTGTCGCTTAGATGTGGTGTTGGGTGATATGGTTTAGGGGTGACCTTGTAGTGTAGGGTCAATGGTTGGACTCGATGATCCCAAGGGTCTTTTCCAACCTGAATTGTTCTATGATTCTATAATTTCTACACTGCTACTTTCATAGCACTCATTTTCAATAAATGGTGTACACTCAATAAGCGAAGGTATACTTTACTTTGTGCATGTGAAATACAACTACCAATGTTTCAGTAGATACACAGACAGTTTAGAGATAGTCATACACTCTTTACTGACTAGTACAAATAATAAATTGAGTTCAAAACCATCAGATTTTGTCCATGATTTGAACGAGACCTTCAGAGGAAAGGAGTTAGCTGAGGGCCAGTCTTGTGCTTTAAGCATACAAGACAAGCGAGATCTGTATCCGAGACTTCTGACTCAATGTTTTCTGTGTTAGTATTAGAAGATGACCAACACATTCGGCTTTATATCTCATCTCAAGAACATCCGATTTGTAACACAATGATGATCTCCTTCCTTTTGGAAAATAACTGGGCATTTTCTGAGCAGCTTCACTGAATCTGTAACTCTGTATTTGATTAAGGATTGACAATGCTGGTCTGATAAAAACTTAACCAAAAATTTCCACAGAGCAATGCTAGCAGCCTTGCTATTTCAAAACAAAACAAAACAAAACCAAACCAAAGAAATACAAGAAAACCTCAACAAAATGCCACCAGAAAAACATCCATGGCACAGAAACTCAAGGCACCTAAACAGGGAGGTAAAATATCACTCAAAGGCTTTGGAACAACTTCAGAACTTCTGCTGGAAAACAGTTACAGCAGTTAGGAGAATCTCCACTCATATATTGACATAGGTAGTGAATCATGAGGCTGGAAATGAAGGAGGCAGCATACAAATTTCTCCTTTTCAGTGGCAATAAACTGAGAGAAGACACAACAGCCGGAATCTTGCTTGATTTTATCTTCAAGGATTAAATGCCCCGAGATATCTGCATTAGCAACATCCAGATAACGTTGTAGTCCCGGAAGAGAAAGGGCCCCAGAATATTCATCTCAACAGATTTAACCCGACATACTTGGTAAAAAGCACTCCAGAGCTCCAAAAAATAGGTTTCCACCTGCTGAAGAAAAGACCAGCAGTTCTAAGGACTTATCATCGAGATTTTAAATGCCAAAAGACAGACCAGCATGAGGGAAGCAACTGTGTCAGTTACAAGATTTCAGATGGTATTATCTTATCTTGAGGCTATCATTACGGTTTTTAGCTCCTCACTTGATTCCTGTTCCAGAAAAGCAGAGTTTCCTGTAAGCAGCTCTTTCACCAGCAGAAATCAACAGAAAAAAAATGACACTTCAAAAGACAAAGTTACATTTGCAGATAGCATGTATATAAAAACTGAATACCTTAAGAGCTCCTACAGAGTATTATGCTAAAAAGACTGCGGGGAGAGGCTTATAAATCTGATCTTTATGCTCGTATCATTCACTGCATGATCTGTTGGTTTGCATTTAGGTTTTGTTTAAATACAAAATAATTATCTGAACAAAACCCACAGAGATTTCTAAGGAAGCCACTTCATGACAGCAATTACTTTGGAACTACAAATTTATTGAAAACACTCTTGCTTTGCAATCTAAAAAACTTTCACTCTAAATTGCTCCAGAATTTCTTGAGTTGAATCAACTGCTCAAAACCTCTTGAACACTACTTTTGAAAGTACTTAAAGTATGGAGGAAAAAAACATATGGCAAGTGAACAGAATATTCTGCATTGCTATTATCAGTAAAATGATATAAAAGCAGTGGATACGTGTTTTCAAATTTGTATTTCTGAATTATATTTTAATGTGGTAAAAGAAGTGTCCTGATATTTTCACCCTTCCAGTTTTATTAAGATATTTTAAAGCCTGATGGTTTGGAAAGTTCACAGAAGTCCTGGAAACAATAGGCCTGGCATACAAACCAAATCTCAAGTCTTTTCTTCCCACGCCACCACAGCTGAAGTTGAAATATCACTAAGGAAGCTTAATTCTCCTTACCTAGTTCAACACTTAATTGCTCAGGTACCGTTGCTTATGAGAACAAATCCAAACCGGATTGAGTGATTCAGATTAGAAGCAACTGCCTTTAAGCTTGTTCAAACCTATTTCTTTAGAATGATCAGGATTTGTGAGTGTGCAAGCACAACATAATGCTGAATTGCTTTACCAGAGGAAGCAAAAACTATACTGGCTTCCCTCCAACGAAGTTTAAAATTACAAAGCTGCCTATTGCAAAGCTTTTAATATCAACAGGACATGTTCTAAGAAACACAAATGCCACAGGTGAGTTTCCCTCCCCATTTTTAAAGCATCATTAATTTTAATAAAGGTTTACAAGTATTTAAAAAAAATCACCAAGAATAGAAATGGAAAGTCTTATTATCAATACATTTGATTCTTTCCTGACAGATATTTGTTTAATCAATTCTTTAAAATTTAATTACTGACATGGAAATTTTATGGTCACCTTAAGACCACACCTTTAAAATCTGGCATGCGAACTACACTTCATCAGACTTTAAAGTAATAACTAAAAATCAAACATCCAGAAAAGTATTCATAACATATGGTCCATGAATTAAAAATCTTCACGTCTAACAAAAATTGTTTTTCAGGTATGAAGTGCCTTACTTTCTTCCAAAACAGAAGCCATCATCTCTTGAATAAAAAACTGTACAAAAATGAAAACAATTATTGATAGGAGGCAGAAGTTTCATTTAACAATCCTGAAAGATGCTAATAATGTAACAGAAAATCTCTTCCCACCACTGCAAGAAAACAAGAATCCTGCATCTGAAACTCCTCATTCAATATCTGAAGTGTTTGTCAAGCACCAAAGAACCATGATAAGGAACTATTTGATCATCTGTGAGAAGTGAAAGCACTACATCTTAGTGATTTATTTATTTATTTTTAGAAACTATTTTCTTCAGCTGTTAAAACAGATACTTTCTGGAGAAAAGAGGAAACACCTCACTACTATCCACACTGATATCCAACCCAGATTTTTTTGAATTATGATACCTTTGTCTCAAGACTAGCTCAGTGTAAGGAACAGTGTTTCTCCACTCCAGCATGAAAAGGTCCACACGTATTTCCATTCAAGAGTGGTAATCTAATTTAAATCAAGAATTTATTGTGTTATAGTATAAAGACACTAAACACAAGACAAAGTGTTTAATAACATAAACATTGACACAAAAGCAAGATCTTTTCAAGCCAGTTCCATAACCATGTGAGAAACTCCCAAGTGAAAGAAAGTTACATACACAGGGTCACCCTATGGAAAGGATGGCACCACCTTCATCTGATTCAAGCCCTGTTTCAGGACATCATAGAATTGTCAGAATAGTTGCATTATTTTGAGGGCTTGAGTGGTATACAGCCTTTGTCTTTGCCCTCTGTATACAGGTGAACTTACCCACAGATCTACAAAAGAACCCATGGAGGAATTTCTACTGTAAACTAAAAGACCTGAGGTACATTCTCTTCTAATCGACCTTGTATTTTTTTATTTTTTTTTTGATCTAAGATATTATAGGGGGTATTGAAGAGCAGCATAAATTCAGTTATTTAACTTCACTGTAGCCCATGTGATAGCACAGGTCACATAACGTATAATGCTTTGTACTACAACGCCCATCTTCAACAAAATACACACAGTATGTCATAAAGCTTCTCCAAAACCATGTATTGTAGTATGGTGAGCCCCATATGAAAAGATACATGAATCTGAGATGTCCTCGAACCATTTCTTCAGACACGTTACCTTGTGTCACAAGAAGGTCTCTTTCCTGTGGATTGTTTGTTAGGATCCATTATGTGAACCATTCTCAAAGATCCACTAATCGTTTCAGTCAACACAGAGCAGTTAACATGAATATACAGATTAAGTATCAGATTACTGCTCCTTCCTAGGAACCACTTCAAAAAATAACCAGTTTGATGAACTCACAACAGAATTTTGCTAAATAAAAAGTTAGAACTATTTCATTTGCTTAAAATGATTACTTTTGGCTCTTAAATGTAATTGAGTTCTATGTTTTAAAGGCTCAGTGTGACAATATATACACACATCAAATTTATATCCAAAGCTAGATTTTACCACTGAGTTTTAAAAGGCCAAGAGATATTTTCAATACAGTAGAAAAAATAGCAGTTCCTGAACTATATCGTAGCCTCACTTCACTGGTAATATCTATTAATTCAGTTGCTGTACAAAATACTTCTCTGAAGCAAATCCACCTGACCTCCACCACCCTGAGTTAAGCATCTACATTTTTTAAAATGTTTTAAACATTAGGTAACAGAGAAGTATGTACAAGGCTATAAAACTTATCGGTTATCATACAGCAGTAAAAAAAAAAAAACAACTCAGTATTTTCAGCCAATTTTCTGTTTGTTATTGTAATTATTAATTCTGGACTGGGTTTGGTGGTTGAGTTTTTTTTGCTTTTTTGCTTCTTTTTTAAACCAAGTAACTACTTGATTCAGACATTCATGCATTTATCGCTTAAATTTTTTTTTATTGAGTGCAACAATAAGGCAACAGTAAAAAAAAGTTATAGAAATTTTGCATATGTGTAAAGGTATTAAGTTTATAAAAGTGCTTCCTAAAAATGCAACCTAATTGCAGTATCAAAATATTACAGAGTGGTGACAATAACTATCATTTCAATAAGTGTTGCTCCATAGAAAAATGTCAATCTGATTTTAGGCTTTTTCCCTTTTTTTGGTGAAGTAAAAGCCTGGAAAAAAAAATGGCATGGCTGCGTGGGACAAGCAAGTTAACAAAATATAGTCTAAACTTAAATAAGAAGGTCCACACTTTTTTTGTCAAAACATTAAGCCTCTGTCAAAAATGTATTTTTTTTCTTTTTATAGTACAGGATTAAAAGACAAGATGATGCTTACAAGATAAAGAAATAATTTACATGAAAATATCTTCTGACAAAGCTTTTCAATCAAAATATTGTTTTGTAACATTCAAACATGACATACAACAACAATAGAAACAGTGAATGCAAACAAAAATGTTATATGGATTGCTTCCAGACACATAAATAAATGAAAATAATTGGTGTAGGCAGTAGGGCTCATGCTGATGGCTAGCAGGAAATAACAGTGTGCAATCTATTTGGAAAAAGCTCTAAAGTACAAATTACAAGCCCAATCACGGACTGCAGAAAGTTCAGTTATATCACTGCCATCCTCTTCTATCTCCAAAATAAATTCTCGATTAAGTCACTCATACTCTAAATTACTCATACCTTTGCTTCAGAGATATGAATAACTATATACAAAAAGTAGTTTTATTTCACCATAGGGATAACATTGTACCTCTCTGCCAATGTCACTTGAAAAAACCTTCCACGTCAAAACAATTTGACAGCAGATCAACAATTTAATAAATATGCGACGATCTTATTACAGTCCTTCAGCTAGGCATGTTAACTCATGCTGCTAGTTTTGTGATCACAGTGCATAGAATCCAAATATAGAAGAATGGGGTGGCTTTTAAGGTAATGGTAGATACCTTGCTTATAATCCAAATATACCCAAAACTTTCGTAAGCTCTGTCATGCATCAATCTTTTTTGTGGCAGGAGCTAAACCTTTCCCTGGTACAATGTCCATTGCCGGCAACGGATGCACCAAAACCGCCAAGGAGCTCAAGCGTTATTGCACAATATATGAAGACCTGGAATTCTTCCAAAAAAAAAAGCTTAAATTAAAAAATAATGGAATTATTCTGACATTTCTGGACACCTGCATTAATACTGTATGACTAATAAAAGCATGTCAGTTGCATGGACTGAACCAGCGATCAACATGCGCCCAGAATGCACACTAGTAAAAATGCAGTCAAAGGAAGTAGTCTTCATTGCCTATAGGTCACTTCCAGTCAAAGGTTAAAGTTCAAAGACTGAATGATCAAAGTGCTCATTTTCTCAGTAGGACTATCTTCTGCTACGAGGGTCACAAAACGGTGGCATCAACATGTGTCATCTTTAAAATAAAAGAAGAGCATTTATGGAAAACATGTCAGCATTCTACGCCCAAATCAGCAAGGTGCTCTACGCAGAAACAATTCCCAGCACAGACAGTAACTGCAGTGGAAATACACCCATTGAGTAATTCTGACGTTTTGTTCAATAATGACTCGGGGGGAAGAAAAAAAGATAACGATATCAAATACAAAGTGTCCAAAAATCCACACACAGCCCTTAGCTCCATTCAAAAGGCAGTAATTTCCACACTAGATATTTAGAAAAATGATAGATATTTAGGAAAATGAAAGATCGTTTACGCTTAACATTTTGCCTCCTTGAAGTACAGCAGGTCCACACTGGTTATCAAACTGGGAAATTCTTTTTTAAGGAAGCAGTAAGAGCTGTCAGAGCAGGCTTCTCCTGATGCATTCTCAACCCTTTATACATTATATATACATAGATATAAATTCATGCATTTCTCAAGAATGAACACGAACTACAGCTAACACAGTTATGCAGAAATAATAGGTTTCTCCTACAGTCCTAAAATCTTAAATCTGAAAATCAACTTACATTCACTAAATTTTAGATACTGTGACTGGACAGAATATGTTTCAAAAATGCGTGTTCTATGCCAATCTTCTCTGCATTACGCTCAATATTAAAGTAAATATTTTTCTGTGAAAGCTTTCCCTTTGAAACTTTTCCTTCCACACATCAACCTGCATTATATTTGCATTTGATAACAGCAAATAGTAAGTTTGTTAACTGAAAGCAAACTTATTGTCTGGCTCTTTTTAATGCACTAACTTGTAACCTCGCATACCTACAAAATGAAGCCTCATAAGCAATATTTTTACTGTTCACAGGTTTAGTATGTAAAGCAGCAGCTAACAACTACGCATTCTCCCCAGAAAATATTAGATCATCAATACTATTACACATAAACAACCCTCTTCATTCTGACAGTAGTGTACTGTACATATAAAAAAAGATTAGACAAGGATGCAAGAGGGACAGAAGCAGTATTTAAACTGAGTACTAAAAGTTTATGCCAGATACCAAACAAAACAATTCCTGTTTAAATAAGAAAACAAACAAAACCAAACCAAATGGAAATTCAAAAGCAGTAAAGAGGTGCTGTTTGAAAACAAAACACTGTTACCTTCTTTTCTCACAAAAATCTACCTAGTGACAACACCAAAGCCAGACAACAGCTTTATGAACCCAATTTCAGCCTGGACATCCAAGAAAACTCTATCTGGAATATCCTCCTCTATCTTTAATGCAACTTGATCAGCTCTCGTATTGAAATTCAATATCAAATTCAATGTAAAGTGGAAACAGATGCTGGGTAGAGTAAACTAGAAAATTTTTTAGTTATCAAAGACCAGGAGTTTTGAAACAGGGTTTGCGAAGGCATCAATATGCAGCAACGTAACTCTGCTTATGGAGTAAATAGCTTTGTTGGGGCAGGGATGAAGTGAGAGATTAAAGTATCTGCCACAAGGTAAATGGACAGACAGAGGTGTTTACATGTTAGAATTCATCTCAGAGTGCCACTTCATGCTTCTGTGTTCAGTTCTGTTGGCTTTACACCAGCACTCAACCATGCACTACGTTTTCTCAGCTAAATAAATTTCAGCCACTTACTGGGGAAAAAAATATTCTTTCAAACGCATATATTAAGAGATAACAGTTTTTCTCCTTTCTCTGCAAAACACAAGGATTCAATTTCACATGAAAGCTAAGCCAGTCCAACGACTAGTTCACCACAGAAGGGGGCAGATCCACTCTGGAAGTCCCTTCACATGTTCTTGTATTAGCAATAGCATTTATTTCACCTAGTGGTTACCCTTGAACAGCTGGTTTTCCTTCTTGGTTAGGATTGTTTTTTCTCCCCTAATTTATCCACCCCAAAGTGGTTCAACCACAAGATTAGATATTTGATACTTCAACTGAAGCAGGAGGAGAAAATTAAGATGACAGAACCACCTTTTCCAAGTGCTTGTAAGTCTTTTCAGGTGTACATAATGTTGAAGACAGTTCTTTTCCAGAGAGAGGTGGTTAAAATTAGGAGGCAAGCAGTCTTGGTTTATGTCCACAGAAAAGAAACAAAATGACTTCTAACTGAGAAAGGAGCAAGTGTCATGCAAAACTTGAAGGAAAATCCGCTAGCATTTAGGAAAATTTTTGTCAGATGGACATCAGATGTGCTCTATTTTTTAATGCAAGAATTTAATGGGGGGAAGGAAAAGCCCAATGAACTTTTAATAGTGATTTCTTCCAGTACTAATTAGTACTTAAAAAGGAAGTGAAACAAATGAAAATTTTACAAAACAAAACACTACAAGTTATTTAAATGAACTGACTTGTTTTCTCTTGCCTCAGGTTGGCTTTTAGGTTGCTCTGAATTTGAGGAAGGGTAGAGTTTTCTGACTTTCAGAAAACATTCACGGTGTAGTGACTGCAAAGTAATTAAATAGCTTGTTCAGGAGACTATAAGCAGCTTAATGATTTTCGACCACAACTATATAGCAACTTTCTACATCAGATAACACACATTTCTTATCACACTCATTTGGTGTTTTGCTTAACTCCAATTGAATTTCACAAATAAGAAATCAAATTATTATCTGCAGACAGTTCTCCTTGATAGACTTCAATCCTGAGTCAAAACGAGACTAGAAGAAATTCAAAGTATACAGAACATACTTTAACTGCAAGATAAAGCCAATAAATGAAACTTTATTCCTCCTTAAAAATAACTCACAAGCAAAAATAAATAGTTCCAAAATTGCCAATAAAGAGAAAACAAGACTAGAAATGGAGAAGCACCAAACACATTACAAGAGTGCAAAAACAGAAAGAGAAGAGAAAGTGACTAGTGAATAAACTGGTGAACTTGAAAAACCCAGCCTTGCAGGCAATAGGATTATTACTCTTGGAATCAATTTTAAAAACAACTTAACATACAACCACACGATAAACAGTCCTGAGTTTAAGTACCTTTAATCCCATGACATATAGCACTCCCCTAACTCTAACTGAAGTCATCTTGGTTGAGAGATACTTTTGGTGCATTTTAAGAAATGGAGTTTCATTCTGTTATGTTACCATACATTAAAACCCCATTGGTCTCAGCAAGCATTATGAAACTCTCAGGTTTTTCTTGCTAAAGCATCCACTGGGTTTTAAGAATCTAAGGGTGAAGACGTTTGCATTTGCCTCTTCAGTCATTAACTCCCAGTCTCAAAATATCTGGTCTCATTTCACACAGCGGACAGAACACATCCACAGCAAAAAAAACAGGGAATGTCTTATGATGGAGCTTTCAGTGAAAGACAATGCTGGCATCAAATCCTCCTGCACCACCCTAGCACATAGTCTTCCTTACTCTAACACATCCCTTCCCAAAGTACATGGGCTTCCCATAACCACCACTTGTACTGTATTTTCCTATGGAAAGCAAAGAAAGTATTAGCCAACAAGAGAGAAGACAAGCAGAGACACTCTCTGCCCTGCTCCTTCTTTCTTTCCTCACCAGTGGAGCAGATTAGACAAGCACATACAGCCAACCCCACCCCTGGGAAGAGGATGAAATATGCTGAGGCAGAAGAAAGAAACCATACAGTATAAAGACACATAAAGAGTACACAGAAAGAAAAAAGTCCACCAGAAGACCTAACCCAAAACAACACAACCCTAGCACTGCAGACACTGCCATACTACACACAGCAATTTTAGTATGCTATTTCTTATCACTATTAATTCTTAAGAATCTTTAAGCTAGTCAGCTGTCCCACACTGGCAATTCTGATTAACAGTGGAAATCTGGTTTAACAGAGAGCTGTTAAACATATATGCATTTTTAATCACTGTAAAAGCTCTTAAAGTGTTAGCAACAACAAAGAAAACCTGGGCTTGGCACTAAACCTAGTTTCATTACGGATCTTCCTCAACCCCAAACTTAAGACCTGTCATGGGCTAATACAGTTTACAAGAACTTTCATTCAAATGCAGTCCTTCAATTCAAAATATATAAATCTATGCTTTCAAATTTCCATCCGGAATTACTAAAATGTGATCTAAAAAAAAATTCACGTAGTATCTCAGAAACAGGGTTTTAAAAACTTTAAAATTAAAAAGGTGTTTAAGGCTTTGAATGCCTTTATCCTACCTTTCTACACTATAATTGCCTTCAGCCTGAAAACCAACTTAAAAATTCCTGGTCCTAGTTAAACACTTACCATGATACCACCATTTTGTTTTCTTTGGATTCTTGTTACATGTTCTTACATAAAACGAGTTATCTGGAGGTCGCCTCTGCAACAGAAGAAAAGACCTACAAATAATCAAACAATCCTCAAATTGTAATACATGAACCAATTAATGAGCTTATGAAAGGCTACCACATTAACACAGTGAAAATGAGGGACCAGGCAGGGCTAAACCTTTGTCAGGAAAAATCTACTAAGGATCCAGGTAATAATTCTTATTGGAGATACTTCAAGTAAAAAAAAAAACCATAATGAAAAACACCTAATGGTTTGGAGATAGAGAGGGGAAGAAATAACTTTTTTAACAAAGAAAACAACCCACAAAAAAGGAAGAGCTATCGTTAAAAAAACCCAAATGAAATTTCTTTGCAGCTTTGAATCCAATTCTTATAGGTTAGATCCAATTAACATTCATATATCTCAGCCTGGAATGGGTGGAAAAAAAAAAAATTTAACTTAAACATCTATATCTGATGAACACTTCAAATTCTTCAGCTTCCTTCAAAAGCATCGTCATTATGCAAAACCAAAGTCAGGACACAAAACAAAGCCATTTAGGGGGTGGTTTTCTACCACATGACTAAGACTAAATGGGATGTGACAGAAATAGGCACATTTGGATAGCACAGATGTACAAGCTCTGGTCAAATCTAACTTCCACAGATATTTCACTGCAAAAAAAAATTAAAAAAAATGGCCCAAGAGCAAAAGGGTAGTCTCTTTCCAAAAAAATGGTCTAAGGTATCAGCACCAACCTTTTACTTTCCTGAAATGAAAATTATCAAGATCACTGAAATAGTACAGCTGCAAAGCCTCCCAAATATCTGCACTAAAGACATTTCGATAGTTATTTTGCACTGCCTTTAGAGACAGAATCAATTTATGAAGAATTGTCCTAAAACATGGTTGAACTTCACAGTTAGTACAACTAGAAAGGTTCCATTCACTCCTCTTTTCCAATAATGATGTATGAGCAGGTTACCAGAAAAACTGCGAGAAAGCACTCACTGCGCTGTTTATTTTGCATTCTTAGTATTTTTTCAGTAGCAGAAATGCAGATATAGCAGTTTTGCCTATTTGAAAATTTCAAGTAATGAAAATCTCGCTTTGCAAAGTAGAAAAAAATTAACTTTCACTTATTCTACTTCGACAGTGCTAAAAAAGCCCATACCTTTTCTTTGCAGCTGGAAAGCATGCTAATAATGCTAAGACAAACAGATTGCACTGAGAGAGCTGGAGACCAGTCTTCTGTTAGAATGGATAAACAGATATGACCATTGCTATAAACATGAGGATGAACAGGAATATTGTCTCCAGTAAACATGACCTAAAAGAAAAAAAAGAATATAACTGTAATTTCTTGTCCACATTCTAAATAAGCCTGTATTGCTTCTGGGAAAACAGTAATGTCTTATTTAAGAAGTTGATCTGCCATTCTCACACAAATATTACACTTTACCATGTTTTAAGTTCATTCACTTTTGTTAGCTATAAATTAAAATGTAAAATAAAACAATGGAAGCCTAAATAGCTAGTGAAAATGAAGTTAAATAAATGGTTAAATGTGGAGTCCTCTATGAATATTTATACAGCACATAAAAATGCAAAGGTAACAGTGTAAAAATAACAAACTCAACTTTTTATACCTTGAAGCCTCAGTCTTTCATGTCCTAAGGAATACAGTTGCCTAGACAAAACACTGGATTTTAATGGTTTTGTATGCCACAACATTATACACCAGGAAACACCACCAGATTCACAAATAAATATTTCTCTAACTCTGGGACACAACAGATATTAAGTTCTGGAACTCACCCAGGTTCCAGCATAAAGAGTAAAATGCATCACTCTCATTAACTATAAAATAAAGGAGACTTGTAAAACTGAAGTATGTTATAACACAGGAAATTTTTAGTTTGTTCTTTCATTTTTATTTGGCATAGACAAATACAGAAGAACAGCATTTAGAACCTTAATTCCTCTCTATTAAAAGATAATATCACAGTCAAAAAAAAAAAAGTTAGAAAAGCAATTCTGGCAACTATTGCTCTTAAAGGAAATTTTTGTCACACACATAGCTGGCTCGGGACCAATGCAAATGGAGTAAAAGAGAAACTTTTGTAGCAGCATTATCTTCCTGAGCACCTTGTCCAACTTCATCTTGTCCACTGTCATCTTTTATGCAATGACATAATAAATCTCTACCACTTGTAACTGTAATACTCAGAAGCCTCTTAAGTGTTTCCTAAGTTATACAGATATATGCCTCTGTACAAATATGTAGACATGTACACAACACACACAGCTCCACATGAAAGTAGCATAACCTTCATCATACAGGAAACTGAAATTAGAGAGCTTAACCTATCTGCCAAATGGTGACTGGGTTTCTAAGGCAGGAGAAAAACTGGATCGACTCGCTTTTGACAGGTCTTTAAAGTGGTATTTCTTAAGCATTGAAGAGTTTACCTGCATATTCCAGTAATATATTTCATTTCTACCTAACGACTTCCTTTTATAGGAAAACCAGAACTAGGCATACTAGGCAAGAAAAGCACGTACACTATGATACAAAACATACATTTAAAGGCAGAAAACAACCAAGCGATTAAGTAGCAGAAGTGTAAACTGTCAATTCACAGTAAGTAGATTTGCAGGAGAAAGAATTATGACCCAGAGATTTGGGATATAGAATGAACTTACTGCATAGCAGCATTTTTATCACAGAAATTCTACTCATCTACAACAATCAACTACTTGGTACTTAAATTCTTAATTGTTTTCTGTGCTACAAATCAGTGTGCATCTACGGATCTAATCTGCTGGTTTACAATTAATTACACAGAGCCACACACGTGGGTTGGGTAACAAGAACAAACAGTATCTACTTGGAAGCAAGGTTAAGTGGCTACTATCTTGTGGGTCACCTATGAGTAGTTCACTGCAAGCCTGATGAGGTGCAGTAGAGGTGACCAGTTTGTTCCTTAAAACCTAAGACTGAAAAGTCAGCATTCTAGTTTTTATCACGGTACCATTACAATAGGTAATGTTTATGGTTAAAGTGTCTCTCACAGCTCCGTGCTTCAGTTTCAACACCAATGAGAAAAGCGTCAGAGATCACTCTTGGAGCTTGGAGCTGAAACAGACAGGACAAGAACTAAGGCACTCTTGGTATTCTTCTTCCTTTTTCAGAAAAGCAGGGGTGATTGCAGAGCATTATTCTTACCATTCACATTTTGTAACATTTCCCTCAAGTAAGGGAGGGATGGATGCATAGAGCTCATTCTGTAGCCTAGTATTGCTGCCCCTTCAGTTCTTTTCCTTGCCATGAAAGCAACACAGTATCTCACATCTCAGTTATAACCACTAGATTCATAGGCCTCTCATAAAGAAGTCATGTATCAATGAGAATCCCTACCACAAGCAGAATATTTCTCCAGGTGTATTAACAATTGCAGCAGAGAGGATGCAAGAGGCTTATAAACAAGCTAGGAGGAAAAAAAAAAGAAAAAACGAGGTTGGAAGCATAAAAAGGGACAAAGCAGCAGTTTGTTGCTCACTACACCACACAGTAAAGGGGATCTTCCTAGCTGACCCCGTGTTGCTCTTCAACATGATACGAATATCAGCCTCAAAGAAGCCTCCAGTTTACACTGCTCTTTCATCTCCTATGTAACCAAGCAGACTGTGACAGCACTCTACCTCACTGCAGTCATTTTTAGAAGAAAAGGCATCTGCACAATGTGTTTGATACAGATTAATTAAACTTCTCATTAGGCAATGTGGATGATATTAATACTCAGCACATGTCATGCAGATGTAACCTAAAGTTAGCACCAAGCAGGAAGCAAGAAAGTGGTTACCTGAGGCGAATCAAAAGGATATCGATTACTGAACTTAAATAGAAGCTGAAATTTCTCCCCTTCATATAGTGTTCCTGGAGCACCTTCCATGTCTACGATCCACCTAAAGAAAAGTGAACAAAAGAATGTTAGTATGGTGGACTGACAAGTTATAATTTTACTCCTGGAGCGCAGGACTAATCAAATGAACCGTTCCCAGTAAAATAACTGGTACCAAAGCTAAAGACCTGTTCCAAAGTTTACTCCTACAAAAAAAACAGGCTTGGAAAGAAACAAACTAATATGTACTCTCTTTCATGTGATTTTATTTTTCTGCCAAGGAAATTATCAGTACAGTTTATTACAATAAAATCTGTATCTAAGGAGAAAAGAGCAATGCTCCTCTTGTACTTACATCTGGGAAAAACTCAGAAATTAAGTGGTACATAGTCTGGCAGGTGATGAAACCAAAACTGTAATAGTATAAAATGGAAAAGGTCACAGAAAATTAAGATGAACAAACAAAAAAAGGATGATTTGATAAAGATAATACCTCAACATATCACAGTATTTTCTTTTTGCTCTGCTTCTGCTCCTCCTATCATAATAACACAGAAGTACCTGACAGGTGAAGCTGGTGGGAGCAGGAGGTGTTAGATGTGGGGTTTTATTGCTGTTGGACTTGGGTTAGGTTGTTGAGGTTTTTTTAATCCAGTCAAAAAAAGATACTTTGCATGCTGTTCAACATACAGAGCAACACTCTGCTATCTAACTTCTGTCGTTTTGGAATTCTGTTGTTGATCACTTAATACCTTGCTTTGCAGCATCACTTCCCCATTTGTATCTTTCACCCTTGGATTGTGTTTTACACGTTTGAGCAACACAATAAGGTAAAGATTCAGCAAGAGACTAAAATGCTCAGATAGGATTTACATCAGGCTCAAGTCAGGCAGCTGAGATTTTTCAGAACAGCAGTATCTTCATAAAAGTCAACATCATCACCAGCTGACAGTCCTGATGATCCTATTATCAACCTTTCCACCCTCCTTGTCATATACACTCTCCCTATGTATTTAAGTCGTGCACATTTATCTTCAGCTCTATTATTTTTTTTTTCCTTGAGAAAAATTTCTTCTCTACTGAACTACTAGCTGTCACACTCTTCAGGAGAAAATCATTTTCAACAGTAGCACGGTGATGGCTGTACCAGTGTTCCATATTTTAACTCTGAAGACTTGTTCGATTTAATGTATCTGTACTACAGACCACTTATCTCTACTTATGCCTTCTACTTTTAAATTTATACATATAGTGCACCAACACTCTTTAGCTTTATTTGTTTTTGTGATCCAGAACCTTCACTTCCAAATTTTTAAAATAGTTTCACTTACTAAGTAGAAGATAACTCTGTTGGGATGTTGCTCCTTTTATGGTTAAGGAATCACTAAAACTCACACTTCCTGTGTGCTTTACAGTTTACCCATCTCAAATGTCTAATCTTTGTGTATTTAAAACAGATGATTGCTTAACGGTTCAAATGACCCCGTTACATCATGGGATCTAATTATCCTATTCAACGTCTTTCAAACACAAGTTAGTATTGCTACACAAATCTTTACCGCACCAGTTAAAACTCCAATACTGAACTAAGAAAATTATCTAAAAGAAATGTCAATACAGTCTAAATCTTTTGAACTCAGGTCAATTAAAAAAAAAAAAAGTGTAAATTAATACCAGGAACGAATTCTGCCCATTTCAATGGACAAAACACACAAAGTTTAACAATGTCTCTTTCCATTCCTATAACCACAGAAAAAAACTCCAGCAGGGAGGGAAGTGCAAACAAATGTACTCAGATAACTTTGCTCTTTATGAACTCTCCCCCAGTTGCTTTAGAGAAATAAGATAATGGAAATTAACAGCTATGAAATATACTCAAAAGAAGTAATGCAGAAACTTTAAACCAGCTACTCCACTATTTCAATAAATCTAGCAGAGTTTAAGAGGCTAGTAGCTGTGGAAGTTTATTAAATTATTTTATTCTAAAATATGCAGAAGCTTTTAACAACTGACATTTTGTTAGACAGTAAAATGCCTAATAAAAATATAATGAATTCACTACCCAGTTCCTGAGAGTATCCAGCACATTACTGCTCATTAAGTAAACAATGTTTCACTCCCTAGACTAAAAACAAAAATTCAGAATGTTACTTGGAATAAGCGGTGGAAGTGGCATGCAGAGAACTTTGCATTACTTACGCTTTTCAGCTTAATAACAAAAATAAATTAGTCTATATACTTACTGCGTAATTGAATTTTGTACACTCTTTTCATTTAGAGTCATTCCTGGAGGTGGATCATTTTGCAATGCCAATAGTTCTTTTTGTAATCGTTTCTATAAAGAAATTGTATAGAATATTTGAAATATTAAATTAAGTTCAACAATGAACATACGCACTAAAGTACATTTCATCAATTATTTAAAGGTAAAAGGAGTTTTATTTGAAAGTTTAAATACACAGTAAAACTGAAAGGGAAGAAAGAGGGATGATTCCTGTCCTAGAAATTAAACTGAAGTCATGGGCAAAAGTCACAGACCTGTGACTAACTGTTTTGGTAACACGCAACAGCACTTCACGTTTGCAGCACTGCTAAGTGAAGAACTGTTGCATTATGAAATACATAGAGTATCTAGGATTTTTTTTCATGTTACAATGTTGTCAGAGTTCTAGACCTAGCCATAAACATTTCATATTCCCCTGAAAGTATCACAGAATCACAGAACAGTTTCAGTTGGAAGAGACCTTCAAGATCGTCGAGTCCAACTTCTTCCCAGCCCTATCAAAACCACTAAAACATGTCCCTCAGCACAACATCCACCCATCTCTCAAACACCTCCAGGCATGGCGACCCAACCACCTCCCTGGGCAGCCTGTTCCAATGTCTGACAGCCCTTTCAGTAAAGAAATTGTTTCTAATATTCAGCCTTTCCAGATTTACAATTAATTCTCCAAGATATAAGCCGCACAACTCTTCCTGCTCTAAGCAATTTAAGGCACTTCTATCTGGCATCTGTGCAAGCCTTTGTCATTCCAGAGAACTGAACACAAAAACAAGACTATGTAACTTGCAGAACACAAACTATTTTACAATTTTATAGTAACCGCATCTTAGAACCTATAGGGTCATAGCATTTAGTAAAGCATTAGACCATTCACGCAGGTAATTCTTACCTATCTTGACAGGGATAAATTGGTAACTGCAACTAGGCACATTTGCAACTACCAGAACTGCTTCTTAAAATCTATGGAGCAAGGGAAATGCAACCTCTGTGATGTGCTAACACTGGCACTGCTTTCAGAGTGTATTTTCTCCACATAAACAGTTACACAATATGTTTTGTCATTTCCAAGCCATCCAGATAATGGAAAGTTCAAGGCTTTCTCATTTCTTACTCTTTTCTCTCTTCTGTGAACAATTTTAAGGTTTACCACCCATCAATCCACTTCCATAATCCTCCTAGTCAAAATGACCTTAGAATCAAGAGGAATAAAAGTATATGGTTTGGGGGTTTAGTATCTTATTTTGATTCAACACACCATTTTTTAAAATGTGCTTTTATCACAGATTTGTAGCTGTTTATTACTAATTTTCCAAGCAACTTTCCTTGTGCTTAGCAGAACTTAAAAAAAATCCACAGGGGTAAATCAAGTATTCATTTGTCAACCCAGAAGTGATTCAGTATACTATTAACATCTTTGAAATACAACTGTAATTTAGATATACAAAAAGGCCTTAATATACTCACAATTTACATCATGAAATCTGTCATTATTAAGCAGCCCTGAAAGCTTGCTTTGGGCTTTTAATTTGAAGTTTTCTACCTTGAGCCCAGATGCATGCTTGAAATGTCTTTTAGTTGCAAGAAATAAAACAAAAATGTTTTGAAGCGAAATGTCATTAAAAAAAAATTACAGGCTGTTACAATTGGTGTGCAAATATAAACAAACTGAAAAAACAATGCTAGCATTTTCATAAGCAAGATTAGACTCCTGGTGTTCATCTTTTGCTTTCTGCACAGATTCAGAAAATTTCAGATTATAAACACCAACAGTGTACACTTTGTCATATAGATCATCACATAGCAAAATATTTTGAAAGTTCAGAGGTAAGAACCTTACATA